TGGGGGGATTATAGAATCACTTAGGTTAGAAAAGACCTTTAAGATCATCAAGTCCAACCATCAACCCAGCACTGCCAAGTCCACCACTAAACCATGTCCTCAAACACCACATCTACCCGTCTTTTAAATACCTCCAGGGATGAGGATTCAACCACTTCCCTGGGCAGCCTGTTCCAATGTCTGACTACCCTTTCAGTGAAGAAATTTTTCCTAATATCCAACCTAAACCTGCCCTGGAACAGCTTGAGGCCATTTCTTCTCGTCCTATCACTTGTTACTTGGGAGCAGAGACCAACTCCCACCTTGCTACAACCTCCTTTCAGGTAGTTGTAGAAAGCAATCAGGTCTCCCCTGTGCCTCAGGCTGAACATCCCCAGCTCCCTCAGCCACTCCTCATAAGACTTGTGCTCCAGACCCTTCACCAGATTCATTGCCCTTCTTTAGACACACTCCAGCACCTCAATGTCCTTCTTGCAGTGAGGGGCCCAAAATGTCTGGGGAGCCAAGGGGATAACACAAGGCCAGGGTAAGAGCCTTGCTGCCCAGTGCCCAACCCACACTACCTGAGCAGGGCAGGCTGACGAGGATAGTCAGGTTCAACCAAGACTCTAGATCAGCCACCAAGTTCACAGCAAGCAGACAGATTCAAAGCCAAGCCATAAAGTCAATCTGCAGGTCAGGCCCAGGGTCAGTCCACAGGTTAGGGTCCAGAGCAGCAGGGACCAGGTATGAGAATGGTTGTAGCTAAACCAGAGACCAGCCACAACATAGCTTAAACTAGGACTAAATGCCCTGGACTGGGCTTAAATAGAGCTCCTGGGCCATGGGCAGGATGTGGCTGGGCAGTCCCAGGTGGGGCTGGTCAGGATCATTATGGTTTACTAATGCCCTCAGGGCACTTACAATGTTCCCTTGTGCATTGTGTTGCAGCTTTGCAAAGGGACTTGACCCATAAAAGGTTTTTTCCCCTTTTCTCTTACTGCCTGCTCGATCAAAATGAAGATTATCTTGAGCTCTGCTGTTTTCTGTTTATAGTAGGGACAAGTGGTTTCTCTTGCTGGCTCAGTCAGTGAAAAGCTGGTGCCACCCTAGGATGCTCCTAGGCCTCCTCTGGCATCTTGAGACAGCCCCTGCGCCCTGGGGAGACTGGGGTCGCATGCTCTGGGGGCTGGTCCCGGGAAGCAGCAGCTCCCAGACCCTGGTTAGGATTGGGGCAGGGGGTCCCTGCGGCTGCAGCATCCCTCTCTGGGGCTGCAATCAGCCCAGGCATCAGCCTGCTGCCGAGTGCAACGTGATGAGCGCCTGAGACCTGAGCCGGGCCGATGTGACGCAGAGATGGATGGTGGCGCCGAGACTTTCCTTGTATCGGATGCTTTGACTTTCCGACCCACTCCCATGCAGGGCCACCTTGGGTGAAAGAAAATATAGAGAGGGCAGGTGGCGGACAGGGGCTCGGATTACTGCTCCTCTCCAGCTGCCCTGCCCTCTGTTAGGAATATGTTTCTGGTTTGCTTTCCCCCCCCCCGCCCCCTCTTCTTTCCCAGGCTTGGCCGGGGCTGCTGTCAGCTCTGGCTCTGCATCGTCCCCTGCAGCCCTCTCCATCCCCACCACTGCCAGCCCTCCTCTCTCAGCTTCTCTGCCAAACAGCCCTTCCAAGTGGGGTTGGGGCCAGGCAAGAGGGTCCCGCAGGAATGGGGAACCCCCCTGGGATGGGACCCCCAGCCCTGTGGCACTGGGATGCGGGATGCTCAGAGAGAAACTGTAATGTGGAAAGGGAGGAAGAAACCAGTCCCTGGGTCCCAGTGTGACCAGATTGAATGCTCAGGGAGGACAGATAGATGATATGCAGGGTGTAATTGCTTTATTCCTATTTCTTCTCTCCATTCCTGCCTTATCAGTTGCCTCTTCTCCATTTTAAATGACTCTCCATCCTCTTTCCCAGTGGTTTTCTCCTAATCCCACCATGGCTGGGGCTGTCTGTGCCTTTGTCCCCCCATCCCCGCTCTCCTCCCTCTCCCACCCCGCTGTTCCCTGCGGCTGAGCTCATTTCAGCTATTCCTTCGCTTGGAATAACCGATCCACTCTGTTGTCCTCCAACAAATAAGCTGACAGGCTAATGAATGGCTTCAGATGGTAATTAGCAATGGAGTTGCTAATAATGAATTTCATTTACATTTTAAGCACTGCAGAGGAAAAGCAAGACCCCGTCATTAATGCCCCCCCACCGCAGCCTTTGCCTTGGGGGGGGCGCACCCTCTGCAGGCCTTTGAGGGATGCAGAAAGGCTTGGCCGCGATTGCACCTCAGCTGCCTCCATTTCGGAGGCTGCAATGAGCACTTTGTTAAGCTGCAATGAGAGGCAGGGGGGAGAAGCTGCTGCCGCTTCCATCATCTGATGAGTGGGGAAGGTGCCCCGACGCCACGAAAAATGAGCCACGAGAGGCAAGAGCTGGTCCTGGGCCAGGAAAGAAGGGCTGGATGATGCACCTAGCACCAGGGATTCATCTGGCTGCAGGTTTGGCACCGAGCAGCCCTGGCTTGCCTGGAGCCCCAGTACTGCTGGCCCTTGGTGGCCATGTAACCCTCCCGTGCTGCTGATGGCTGTTTGCACACCTGAATAATGACTCAGAGGGATTTCTCAGCTCCCTTGACCGCACATGCTCTGCAAATGCTTGCTAAAATCCTTCCTGATTATTTTCCTAGGGTTTTAGCATCTTTTGAAGGCAGCAATTTCCCCGAGAGCCTTAATCCATCCCTGCCGGCCCAAGGAAGAAGCCAAGCGCCTTCTGCAAGGATGCCATGAATAGTCATCAAGCAGAAAGGGGGAAAAACAACGTTGTTTTGTCTTGTATGAGCGAGGGATTCATGGTGGAAGCACAGCAAATAGGCATGCTCGCTACTGCAGAGTGCCAGGCGGGACTTGGGAGATGCTCAAAGCCTGCAGCCAGTGCTGGGGGTGAGCCTGGGACCGTCGTGCGCCCTGCCTCAGTTTCCCCCGCTGTACTAAAGGGGCCTCCTGGGGTGTTAGCTGGATCAGGAAAAGATGCTCTCCATTCCCTTGGGTTTTCCAGCACAGCAGGGCACTGCTCTTAGATGGAGCATCCCATCCCACATGGGTGAGACACCAGTGCTGTCCTCCCATCGCCTGCAGACCCCAGTCTGGCGGTCGGATCAGGGGGTGTCCCATACCTGCCCCCCATTTAGGGCAGCGGTACCCACAGAAAGCTGCTTTGGGGACCACAGGGATGCAGGAGTTTGCCCTGGCTGGGAGGGGATGGCTGCATCCCACTTTGCCACAGCCTTCACCTCTGCGGGCATCGGATCAATTGATTTATTTATGTATTTTTTCAAGCCCTGCTTGGAGTGAAAACAATCCAGGCGCCTCCAGAGGCCGATAAGATTTGACTGCAAGTCAATACTCAGCATGTCTTTCCACTGTGCAATGACCCCCCAGCCAGCAGGGTGGGAGGCTGGGGGTGCCGGGGGCGGGCAGGGGACAGGCAGGTGACAGGGGCAGGCAGAGGGCCAGGCTGGGGCAGGGACATGGCCTCTGCCTGGGGAAGGGATTGGGGGCAGAAAGGGGAGATCTTCTGGCCTGCAATAGGTATCTCCCAGGATGTTTTGCCAGTAAATACAATGGTGACCCCATGGTGGGCAGCTCCCTGCTGGAGGCATGGAGATGAGCAAGGGACAGGGTCTGGGAGAGCAGCAGGGAGAGGAAGGGATGGGGAAGACGGAGGAGGAGGGAGAGAAATCACCCGTGAAAACCAGCTCTGCCGTGACATCTGCTCCTCAGGGCTTTGGGGATGGAGAGGTTTTCCTGTGGGCAGAGCCAGGGCTGAGGCTGCGGGGTAGCGAGGGGAGCAGAGCCCCAGCATGCTTGGTGCATGTCCCAGCCCCACAACACAGGCACGGCCGCGATGCCATCTGCCAGGATTTCACCTGGCTGCGGGTCCCAGTAGCTTCTCTGATGGCTAATGAGGGTTGAGCTCAGGCTGCCAGCATTCCCAAAGTACCTCCTGCATCTCCGTGCCATCCCCGGGGGCAGCGTGGCTGGGACTCCTCATCCCTCTGGGGATGCTGCCGGGGAGAGGGTGCAGGGGAGGCAGGCAGGACGGGTGCCCGCACTCTGCTGACATTTGCAGTTAGCAGTTGGCGTCCTTGAGCGGAGCAAGCACCGAGAGAAGGGACCAGGTTCTCTTTAAGGGGGCAGGACTCCGGGAGCATCATGAAGGCAAGAGTGAGCTTCTCCCTCTACCTTCCACCTTCCTTCCCTTCCCTTCCCTTCCCTTCCCTTCCCTTCCCTTCCCTTCCCTTCCCTTCAAGGGACCAGGTTCTCTTTAAGGGGGCAGGACTCCGGGAGCATCATGAAGGCATGAGTGAGCTTCTCCCTCTACCTTCCACCTTCCTTCCCTTCCCTTCCCTTCCCTTCCCTTCCCTTCCCTTCCCTTCCCGCTCCCGGCCGGGGACCTGGGCTCCCTGCCCTCCCCTTCGCCTTCCCCGGCTCTCAGTGCTGGGCAGGGATGAAGGCAGCAGCTGGGTGCTGGGATGGGAGGCTGAGCGAGGGGAGGAGGAGGAGGAGGGGAGGAAGGGGAGGGAGAGGGGGAGGATCTGCTAATTACACAGAACAGCTCTGGAGGCTGCTGAAGTCCAGAATGAAGCAAAGAGCAGCAGAAGCGAGTGCTGCAGTGGGAGCGGAGGAGCCCAAGCATCACCAAGAACCGAAGCCAGCCGTTGTCCCTGCTGGGAGCGACGGGGGGCACCCAGGGGATCCTGCAGCCCCGTCCCCCGCAGGGGACAGCCTCCGGCACAGCCACCGAGCCTGCTGCCGGCTCCTCCGCAGCCAGCCCCGGGCGAGGAGAGGGGAAGGGGCTGGTGGTCCCGGGGACGCAGGGTTAAACTCAGCCCTCCTGCGGGCTGGGCTGGAGGGCAGTGGAGTCAGCCCTGCCATGGTCCCGGGGGGCTAGGAGCCCAAGGAGATCCATCGGGAAGGGGTGAAGGATGGCTGCTGAAGGAGGGGGAGCCAAGCCCGTCACCCAGTCTAGGATGGAGAACTTCCGAAAGGTGAGGACCTCGGAGGAGGAGAGCCCCTTGCCCTTCCCTGACCTGCCCCCAGACGTGGTGGAGATGAAAGTGAAGGAGGGCAGCAAGATCAGGAACCTGATGAACTTCGCCATGGCCCAGATGGAGCTGAAGGGCAGCCGGCAGATCGTCTTCAGCGGTTGCGGCAAGGCAGTCACCAAGACCATCACCTGCGTGGAGATCATGAAGCGGAAGCTGGGAGGTCTGCACCAGGTCACCAAGGTGCGCTATAAAACCTTGCTGGAGGTCTGGGAGAACCAGGACCCGCTGCCCGGTGGCCCAGCGCAGAATCTGACCGTCCACAAGAATGTCCCCTCCATCTGCATCCTCCTCTCCCGAGACCCCCTGGATCCCAACCAGACGGGCTACCAGCCCCCGGAGCCCTGCCACGGGCTGGGGACGCAGCTCGGCGAGGCAGAAGACACGTCCAGCTCCTCTACCAAGGGGCTGAAGCGGCCCCTGCCACCTCCCCACGAGGAGCTGCTGACCAAGAAGTTACAGGTACAGGTACCCGACAGCCCGAGGGGCTCAGGGTCCACGGACCGCCAGCTGGACCACCACCGATTGTATGCTGGAGAAACTCCGGGGGGTTTAGCCGCTTTGCTGTGGATAAAGGCAGTGCCGTGCTTGCCCAGGGTCACCGGTGTGCTGCAGGCTCCCCCTGACACACTGCCGCGGCTCCAGGTGACCCCCGTGCATGGGGGCTTGCTGCTGGGGGGTACCATGTCTCCAGATTTGGGGTGAGGGATAAAGGGTTATGTCCTGAAGGGGGGGGGGACACACAACGTGTTGGGGGGAGCTGCTGACCCTGCATTCGGCCACCCAGAGGCAATGCCACCACCAGCCACATTTCTGCAGTGACTCCCACGGAGCCAGAGCATCCGTTGCCTTTTGCCGAGGGGTGTCCGGACCAGGGAAGGCGGCTGCACATCATCGCTCCCCATTGCGATGTCTCAGCCATCAGGAGAGACGGTTTTGCCCCAAGCCCGTTGAAGTAATACCTTCATTATCAAACCGCTGCAATTACGCCCAGCGAGGAGCTGTCAGGTTTATTAATGCCGGGCTCAGCGCCCCACAGCGCCGTGATTCATCCCGAATAAAACACACAAACAAGCAGACGGGTTGCTCCATCCCCATGCCCATGGAGCCGAGCGCTGCGCTGCCTGCCTGCGGGACAGCAGAAGAAAATAAAACAACCCTTCTTCTTCTTCCCGCATCAGATATTCAGGTCTTTGCTCTCCCAGAGGCGTTTGTAGGGTCTGGAGCTGGAGTGAAGCCCCGATGTCGGGAGCCGGGGGCAGTGGGTGGGTTGTCGTCGTGGCTGGGTGCGGTGTCTGGTGCAGGATGGGGAGGTTTCGGGGTCGTGGGCTTGGCTGCAGGGCCCTTGCCGCGGGCTGGCTCCCTGGGAAAGCCCTTCGGAACAAAATCCTTGCTTCTTTCAGGGGGTACAAGAGCACAAATGGAAAATAAAAGCTCTTTAGAAATAGTTGAAATGTGTCTATGGGAAAATGAGGGAATCGTCTTGGCTGCCGACCACGGCACAGTGAGGGTGGGACTGTTGCTGCCGCTGAGCCAGGACAAGGGGATCCTGGCCAAACCCTGTCCCAAGGGATTGGGACCAGTTTCTCCTACGTGTCCTGGCAGCAGCCTGGCCCCCACCGGCACAGCAGAGCCTGGCAAAGCCCCCGTGCCAGCCCCCCCGGCCGGCACAGCGGGGACTGGGGCAATGCGGGGAGGGCAGGGGACGCGTTATGGGAGCCAAGCAAGCCCCAATCCACCTGGTTCCCCTTGCCCCAGCCCAGGCGGCCCCCGGGGGCACTGCGGGATGAATTAAATCACTATTAATGAGCGTACCCTTCCTGAAAGCCATCCAGGAGGGATGCTCTGGCTGAAGCTGCTTTATCTCCCTGCCTTGCTCCCGCTCTCCGGGGATGGCAAGCATCCCTGCTTTTGTCAAGGGCTTGCTTGGCAAGCGTTTTGCTTGGCTGGGAGCGGGAATGAAAGGAGATGAGGCGAGCGAGGAGGAGGAGGAAGCAGGGGGCTGTTTTGTTTGGGGATGACCTTGTTATCTCCCGCAGCAGGCAGCTGCTCCTCCAGGCCCGAGGCTTGTGCTTATCTGCCCTGCCACAGATTGATTCACTTCACTTATCTGCCACCATGTAGTTGAATATTAATTTCCAATTGTTTTTTTTTTTTTATGATTATTTTTTGTGAGTTTGGGGCTGGGAAAGCTTTGGGCTCCGTCCCACCCAGCGACCACTCTTGCCAGCCTCCTCTCTCCAGGGCAGACACCATTCACGTTCAACCCTCTGCCCCGCAGATGAGGGGAGCACCGGCTATGGGCTCCTTCCCGAAATGTACTAAAAATCACGCTAATAAATAAAACCCCGTGTAAACGGTCTGATCGGTGCCTAAAGACTGTCACAGCCATGCAGCTGAGAACTAACAGCCCTTCACCTCCCTGCCCCTGCCCCGCTGTTGCCATCTCACATTGCTCCCAGCAAGGAAAAAGAGAGGAAAAAGAGATCAGTCATTTCTCCATGTTATTTTGTTAATGTGCAAAATTATTTTTAATTGATTTTCTGTGCAGGCAATTTCCAATCTTGGAAGCAACAGGAGCTTGGGGATTTTGCACTCCTCGCTTTGTTGGCTGCAGACCAAGGATTTCCTGCATGAGAAAATAGTTTAAAAAAAAGAAGACTGTAACCCAAAATATGAAGCATTTAAAAAAGCATGATGGCATCTGGCTCTACAGGGCCCTAAGGGGACGTGGCGAGCAAAATTATCATTATGATCTTGTGCTGCACTGCTGAGGCATAGCCCCAGGCACCTGCCAAGAGCAATTTTTGGGGCAATTTGTGAGCCCAGCCGCATCCCTCGTGGTGGCCAGGTCAGCCCTACCCTCCTGCTGGCACGGGGGGCACCGGCGGCTGAAGGCAGCACCCTGTGGCCAGGGTGTACGTGGTCTGGGGACAAGGACGTGATGGGGGCTGCCGTGGGTGCCAGGCCTGGCCCTGGGGCAGAGCCACAGAAAGCCTCGGAGAGCTGCTGGATACTGCGGCCGCAGCCAGGCTGGGTCCCATTTTCCCCCCCGCTCACTGGGAAGAAGTCAGGCAATCTTCCCTTGCCGGAGTTGGTGGCAAGCAGTGGTCACAAGCAGGGACAGGGAAGGGCCCCCCTTGCTTCCCTGTGGCCCCAACCCATGAGCTGACACGCGTGGGAGGCCACACCGGGGCCATCCCCGCATGAGCTCGGTTAACGGGGCTGTCAGGCCGCACACCAGCGGCAGAGCAGACACCCCAACCCCTAAGACGCCTCACGGGCAGCCGCTACGGCCTTTTACGAGGCGAGAGAGGCCGACAGGCCGCCCCCAAC